CACCGGAAGTTCTCACCAAGACTCTGCAAAGATCATTCACCTTCTGCGTGACTTTGATATCATCTTAAAGAGACAATGTGCAGTTTTTACCATTAATTTCTGGAAACATCCATCAAAATCAAAATGTTGTTGAAAATGGATGAAATGAAGCCCAGTTGTTGAAAAATGTTGGCGGCTTCCTAACACACAACCATTAAAATTAGGTCTACAATACATGGGAGAGGGTCTAAGTCTCTGGTCGATGCCGTATTAGATGTCACATGTCCTTCTACGGGAGCCCATGAGGACAAAATGCACTTACTGATTTGTAACAGCTACAAAACTTTCATCTTTCTTAAAAGTTGTTGTTTTACACATTTAGCTCCACTTGTTGCCAGTGATGAAAGGGAGTCTGGTGTGTCATTTTGCTGAGGTTTGCACTCTTCAGGGCTTTGAGACCCTAATGGGCAGCCATTGGTAAGGTCTCACTCCAACACAAAAATACCGCTTGCTTGCAATGATTTAGGTATCTACTGCCCCCATCGCCAGGAAAAATACACACTTTAAAGACCTAGTTCACTGAGAAATCATTTTTACTTGACATTTTTTAAATATGATCAGTCACATGCAGGCTAAACATGAAATTAGACTTCTACCCCTATTTCCTGCATTAGCTACCAATAGAAAATAGACAGGTGACAGATCTGATTAGATAAGCCAGTCAGATCTACATCAGACTGAAAATTAGCATTCATGGACTCACCCATCTTGGCTTGTGAAAGGAAGACTGTTGTTGATTTAGTTTCCAAGAGAGAGCAGTGCTCATCTCAGCTGGTAAAAGCTAACCATTAGCATTAGCAACTCCTTAACATGACAGAACTCCTCCAGACTTGTGTTATTTGTGGAGAAAAAGCATTATCGTTGCAAAGCAGGGTCAGTGGTCAGTGGAACATTGTCGTTAGCCAATCAGAAGCATGGTGTTTGTATGTCAGGAAATAAGACTCCAAAACTTGCCGTTTTCTACTCACTTCTCTTCTGGCTCACTTTTAGTTCTTGAAACAGGAGCGCAAGAGCTTTTTTTCTCACAGAGAACTACTCAAAGGGCATTCATTTGTACTACAGACCACTGCAGACATATTGTAAAAACGAGTGAACTTGGTCTTTAAGGTCCTCACTCTGAAGCAACCTAAATAAATCACATTCAGGAGATTCAGACCCAATGTTTAGCCACCACAAAGAATGGAACAAGAAATAAAAGTTGATTTATTATCCAGGATGTACTGGGGCAATGACTTGACTCAGCTTGACTTAAAGCACTCTAAACTTGGCCTGAATGACTTGACTTGACTAAGTATGACTTGAACATATAGCCTGCATGGGTCTGTGGATAATCTGGCACTAGAGCTGTGGCTGTAAGGAGCTTTAATAATGGGGAACACAAGTGGAAACAAGTAGTCCCAGATGAAGATGAAGTGCAGAAAGATTTGAAATCATTAATCGTGACAAAGCTAAACACCTTAATATACCTAACTTGTCACGGTGAGGTTCAGGCAGTAACCCAGTTGCAGGAATAACAAGCCTTGGTTCTGGTTCAGGGTCTTTAATAACCAAAAATGACCACACACCGTGGGAAAATTAATCAGAAGTCACAAACACGAAGGCACACTGGCTCTATTAAGCAATACAGAAAAAACAACACCACACTAAGGGCTGGAAAATAGTGGCTTAAGTAAGGGTGGTAATTGGGCAATTGCAGTCAGCTGCGACACTCCGGAGAAGCCCAAGGCACCTGGAAGGAGCTGCAGCTGACCTGCACAAAACACAGAAACAGAGATGATTAGAAAACCAGTAATAGAAACCAAAACCTGAATAAAAAGCAACAACTCATAACATAACTGGCCCTCAATACTGTATTTGTACAAAGAAAACACATTCATGAAAATAGGTCTGCTAACATAACCTTCCATTCAAGTGTGTGTTTTATAAGCCTTTTTGATGGGTGATGCATCACTCCTCAGGTCTGTGTGTTTGTGCGTAAGAGAGAGAGCCTTCAGGATGCCTCTCTCTGTCCTTAAGACACTGTGAGAATCTGCTCTGCCTCGACAATGTCAGCTCGATGATTCATGCTGTGACTCTGCCACTGACCCGTAGGATGACTCTCTGGGGGGCGGAGTGTGGAGACAGGTTGCATCCATCAAAGAGTCAAAGAGCAGAGCAGATGTGCACAAACACACACAGAGTCAAACCTCACTCACAGACCAAAACCAGTTAAATATGCATAATCATTGATTGATATGTGGATTTCACTGTGAAGTTTACCACCATTCAAAGTGTTCTTTCTCAGATTTCTAAATCTGTTTATAATCTGTTTCAAGCTGAAGATCAGCTTAAAAGTTGCAGACACAACTTAAAACATCTGAGACTTTCAAGGGCTCTGAAAGATCCCACGAAAAACCAATACTGGCCATAAAACGGGAGAAATTTAAAGTTTTGTTATTTCATTTTCTTGCAAGGAAACAGGATGGCGTCTGGCTTCATTTAACATAGAGCAGTATTTATATTCAAATTATGCCCTAAACAAAACTGTCAGTTATTAAACAATCATTGGCAATTAATATAAAAAACTTGATTTCTTCAACTAGTTTTCATTTGTTTTCTTTTCTTTTAAAAGAAAAGTTAAAAGTTACAAAACAGCCAAAGTGTGTGGTGTGGAGTTGGACCTCCTGTTTACCCAAGTTTACCTCACTAATGTTCTAAGTGAAGCATTCCTGCAAGAGCAGCAATCAAAAAATATATATCTTCACAAACATGATTAGATAATCCAAATTCCTTTGTGTTCAGTGGGTCAACACATTTTTCAAAGGCTTTGGTTTTATTTTGCCTTTAGTTTTTGTGAGATTTCAGTGTTTGATTAAGGTTGTGCATTAAAAAATAAATGTGCTGGATCAAGAATTATTCATGGCTTGCACTGAATGAAAATAACTTTAGGAGGTTGTTGTTTTTGGTTCCCTTCAAAAAAACACAATGTGGATCTCACCCACTCCAAAACAATGTTTTAAGTCATGTTTTTAAACATGAGATTCAGCCATTTTTACATATTTTACTCTAACATAAAACATGTAGACAATATTTGTTTCTTTTCTTCATCTTTCCATCCATCTATTTTTGCTTATCCGGGGTCAGGTCACAGGGGCAGCAGCTTAAGCAGAGATGCCCAGACTTCCCTCTCCCCATCCACTTGGGCCAGCTCCTCCAGGGGAATCCTAAGGCGTTCCCTGGCCAACCATGAGACATAGTCCCTCCAGCATGTCCTGGGTCTTTCTTGGGTCTCCCCCCCAGTTGGACGTGCCCGGAAAACCTCACCGGGCAGGGGGGCATCCTAACCAGAGGCACCTCAATTGGCTCCCATCGATGTGGAGGAGCAAAGCTTATGACCATAGGTGAGGGTTGGAACATAGATTGACCGGTAAATCAAGAGCTCCGCCTTCAGGCTCAGCTCTCTCTTCACCACGACAGACCAGTTCAACGCCCTGCAGATGCTGCACCAATCCATGTCTCATGGCCAAGACCCCAAGATATGTAATTGTTTATTTCCTAGTATTTTTAAAGTTATGTTAGAACATCTGTATGCAGGCGTGATGGTTTGCTGTTCTCTTGTTCTGGTCGTCTCTGCCGGCTGGCTAGAAGTGGGTCAGTTTGTGCAGTCACTGTCTGAATTTGGTTTTCTAAAAGAAGAAAGGCTTGGGCCAGCTTTCAACCAGATCCTCCGTCTCTATAGGAAGTGTAAACAAAGTGTTTTTTTTTCCTGTCCTGTCAAAAACTGAGTGACTTCTCCTCCCTCAGGAGATCAGACTAAATCTGTGTCATCATGTGTAAAATGTGAGGAATTGCTTGTGTGCAGAGAATTTCCTGATATTTAAGTTTAGGACAATCTCACTGGGATGGTATTTGTTTGTTTATGTACTTTTGATGTTAATACCATTGCTGGAACAACAAAAATTAATCTGATACAATCAGCTATTCAATTATAACTTATTAGAAAACTGAACCTAAGGAACCAAACAGGAAGAAGGGCAGCTTTGGCCCCTGATCGCTGCTCATAACACATATTTTATTAATCCGTTAGGCTCTTCCTCCCTCAGCTCCCAGCATCAGAGAGCATTTTATCATGATGCTCCCTTGCGATGACAACATATTCTCTCATTTCCTCCGTGAAGAGAAGAAAAACAAGCAAACCAAAAAAATTTAGCATGTAGAGTTTATGCTGGATGGATTGCCTTTATCTGTAATTGTTTCTTTAAGTATAAAAGCGCCCCCACCACTGATATATGCGGACACTGAGATGTGTCTGGCATCTTCTGCCAGGTACTCTTTGACTGTGTCCATGTTGAAAACAGCGTGTGGGAGTAATCAACGGTTGCCTGAAGGAACGCGAAAGCACAAATGATTCATCTTGTCTTTGTGCTTGGCGGACCAAAGTGATTTTAATTCATAACCAGCACTGCCAAACCCAAGCAGTCATCCATCAACCCATGCCTTATCAAACACATAATACAGTTTCACAGTGATGTCTTCTTCACATTTCAAAGCTGCGATGTGCGAAGCTCGGAGCCATAGCTTGAACTGTTGAGAGCCTCAGCCTGTGTATGCATGCCGATAATAAATTCATTGTGTTTGTCAAATTGGAGCAGACGGTCTCAGTGCTGCAAGGAAAGCAGAGTATATGCAAAATGCATGATTTCAGCTGGAACAAGGCGCTCTCTCAGCAACCCACTTTCCTCATCAAAGTCAGAGATAAATTAGTGAAAAGACAAATTATGGTAAATGTCTTAAAGTGATGAGCGTTGCTGCGATGAGGTCTCCCCAGGTTTATTTACTGTCGGGTCACGTCGTCACACAAACTAAAGCAAAAAGCAGATAATTCACAGCAGTGTGGATGTCATTTTTTTAAGCACCATTGATTTAAAATTATGAACGTTTTTCTAATCTAATTTTTTTTTCCCCTGTTTCTTGTCTTGCAGGAGTCTGGTGCACTGACCCTGCCTGCAGCAGGCCAGGAGTCAGAGGACCAGGGCCATGACTGAGTCTCCTGGCCCTGGTGGGCGTGCCTTAGTGCCATGGCCGAGGGTGTGGCAGTGGGTCCTAGCTACCTCGCTGGTGTCTCTGCTAACCTTGACTCTGCCAGGGACCAGCCAGGCATGTCCGCCTCGATGCGAGTGCTCAGCTCAGCTTAGGTCCGTGTCATGCCAGCGACGGCGACTCACCAACATCCCTGAGGGCATTCCCACTGAGACACGGCTTCTGGACCTCAGCAAGAACCGTCTCCGCTGGGTGCACGCAGGTGATCTGACACCCTACCCACGGCTGGAGGAAGTGGACCTCAGTGAGAACCTCATTGCCACGTTAGAGCCTAATGCCTTTGCTTCACTTCAGAATCTTAAAGTGCTAAAGCTACGAGGGAACCAGCTAAAGTTAGTTCCCATGGGAGCCTTTGCCAAGCTGGGCAATCTGACCAGCCTAGATCTAAGTGAGAACAAGATGGTGATTTTATTGGATTACACCTTCCAAGACTTGAAGAATCTGAAACACCTGGAGGTTGGAGACAATGATCTGGTGTACATTTCCCACAAGGTAAGCTCACCAAAGTCCAACAGTGTACTTTGCTAAATAAATCAATCTTATCCCTTCTTGTTTTTCTTGTCCTCAGGCATTCTCAGGGCTGCTGGGGTTAGAGGATCTTACAATAGAGAGATGCAACCTCACATCCATGTCTGGCCAGACGCTGTCATACCTCCGCAGTCTGACCACTCTTCGCCTTCGCCACCTCAGCATCACTGCCCTGGAGGACCAGAACTTTCGCAAGCTCTCCAACTTGCGAGGTCTGGACATCGATCACTGGCCATACCTAGAGTACATCTCCCCTCTCAGTTTTCAGGGCCTTGACCTCCACTGGCTATCCATCACCAACACCAACATCACCTCTGTCCCGTCACCTTCCTTTAAGAACCTGGTTCACCTCACCCATCTCAACCTGTCTTACAACCCCATCACCACACTAGAACCTTGGGCTTTCAAAGATCTGTTGAGGTTGAAGGAGCTCATAATGGTAAGCACTGGCTTGATGACAGTGGAGCCCCACGCTCTCGGAGGCCTCAGACAGATCCGGGTGCTCAACTTCTCCTCCAATGACCTGCAGACTCTGGAAGAGGGTTCCTTCCACTCTGTGAATAGTCTGGAGACCCTCAGAGTGGACGGCAATCCCCTGTTGTGTGACTGCCGTCTGTTGTGGATCCTGCAAAGACGCAAGACCCTCAACTTTGACGGCAGAGTTCCGGTGTGTGCGGGACCGATGGAGGTACAAGGGGTCCTCCTCAGCGCCTTCACCGATTCTGCACTCTTTGATCACTTTACATGCCAGAAACCTAAGATTCGCAACCACAAGATGCAGCAGGTAACAACGAAAATTTTGTTTTTCAAATCTTTGTTTTCCTGAAGCTTTTGTCGAGTGTCTCTGGATTTGCTTGTGTGTGTTTGTGCGTGTGTGTGTGTGTGTGTGTGTGTGTGTGTGTGTGTGTGTGTGTGTGTGTGTGTGTGTGTGTGTGTGTGTGTGTGTGTGTGTGTGTGTGTGTGTGCTCGTGTGTGTGCTCTGTCTTCTCGATCCCCAGTGAGTCGTGGAGGATGGCTGCTTATACTGAGCCGGGATTCTCTGGAGGTTTCTTCCTGTTAAAAGGGAGTTTTCCTCTCCACTGTTGCTTTACAGGTGCTGGCCAGTAAATTAGAATATCATCAAAAGGTTGAAAATATTTCAGTAATTCCATTCAAAACGTGAAACTTGTACATTATATTCATGCAATGCACACAGACCAATGTATTTCCAATGTTCATTACATTTAAATTTGATATTCATAAGTGACAACTAATGAAAACTCCAAATTTGGTATCTCAAAAAATTAGAATATTCTGAAAAGGCTGAATATAGAAGACACCTGCTGCCACTCTAATCAGCTGATTTACTCAAAACACCTGCAAAGGCCTTTAAAAGGTCCCTCAGTCTTGTTTTGAAGGCACCACAATCATGGGGAAGACTTCTGACTTAACAGCTGTCCAAAAGACAATCATTGACACCTTGCACAAGGAGGGCAAGACACAAAAGGTGATTGCTAAAGAAGCTGGCTGTTCGCAGAGCTCTGTGTCCAAGCACATTAACAGACAGGCGAAGGGACGGAAAAAATGTGGTAGAAAAAAGTGTACAAGCTCTAGGGATAACCGCACCCTGCAGAGAATTGTGACGACAAACCCATTCAAAAATGTGGGGGAGATCCACAAAGAGTGGACTGCAGCTGGAGTCAGCGCTTCAAGAACCACCACGAGGAGACTCATGAAAGACATGGGATTCAGGTGTCGCATTCCGTGTGTCAAGCCACTCTTGAACATGAAACAGCGCAAGAAGCGTCTCGCCTGGGCCAAGGACAAAAAGGACTGGACTGATGCTGAGTGGTCCAAAGTTATGTTTTCTGATGAAAGCAAGTTCTGCATTTCCTTTGGAAATCAAGGACCCAGAGTCTGGAGGAAGAGCGGAGAAGCACAGAATCCACGTTGCATGAGGTCCAGTGTAAAGTTTCCACCGTCAGTGATGGTGTGGGGTGCCATGTCATCTGCCGGTGTTGGCCCACTCTGTTTCCTGAGGTCCAGGGTCAATGCAGCCGTCTACCAGGAAGTTTTAGAGCACTTCATGCTTCCTGCTGCTGACCAACTTTATGGGGATGCAGACTTCACCTTTCAACAGGACTTGGCACCTGCACACAGTGCCAAAACCACCAGCACCTGGTTCAAGGACCATGGTATCCCTGTCCTTGATTGGCCAGCAAACTCGCCTGACCTTAACCCCATAGAAAATCTATGGGGTATTGTGAAGCGGAGGATGCAATACGCTAGACCCAACAATGCAGAGGAGCTGAAGACGACTATCAGAGCAACCTGGGCTCTCATAACACCTGAGCAGTGCCACAGACTGATCGAGTCCATGCCACGCCGCATTACTGCAGTTATTGAGGCAAAAGGAGCCCCGACTAAGTATTGAGTGCTATACATGCACATTCTTTTCATGTTCATTCTTTTCAGTTGGCCAACATTAGAGAAACAAACATTTTTTCATTGGCCTTTAGAATATTCTAATTTTCTGAGATACCAGATTTGATGTTTTCATTGGTTGTCACCTATAAATATCAAAATTAAACGTAATAAACATCGGAAATACATTGGTCTGTGTGCATTGCATGAATATAATGTACAAGTTTCACGTTTTGAATGGAATTACTGAAATATTTTCAACCTTTTGATGATATTCTAATTTACTGGCCAGCACCTGTATGCTTGCTTAGTATGAGGATTGCTGTATAGTCACTGACACTAGTCAGTGACTTGATGCAATTTGCTGGGTTCCTTATATAGGAAACATTATTTCTGATTGGCTTAATGAACTGACCTGAATTGGAATGTTTATTATGTTAAGTGCCTTGAGACGACTCTTGTCGTGATTTGGCGCTATGTAAATAAACTTGAATTGAATTGAATTTACCATTTCATTTGTTTCTTCTGAATCCTGTTTCTCCTTTTGTTCATGCACTCTTCCCAGGTTGTTGCTCGAGAAGGCCAACCAGTCAGCTTTCTGTGCCGGGCTGATGGAGAACCACCACCTGCTATTATCTGGATTTCTCCACAGCGTAGACGGATCACAGCTAAAAGTTCAGGGCGTATCACAGTTCTCCCCAGCGGCACCCTGGAGATCCGCTACGCCCAGCTGACCGACAGTGGAACATACATCTGCATCGCCAGTAACGCTGGAGGAAATGACACCTACTTTGCCACTCTAACAGTGCGCGGCCAGCCACTAGACGCCGCCTCTGCCTTCTTTCTTAATCGCTCACTGTACAGCGGGGAGTTCTTCAACGACACAAATATGAACAGCACACGTGTTTTCCTCAAGTTCACCTTGGACCTGACCACCATCTTGGTGTCCACGGCGATGGGTTGCATCACTTTTCTTGGGGTCGTCCTTTTCTGTTTCCTGCTGCTGTTCGTGTGGAGCCGGGGACGCGGCCAGCGCAGGAACAACTTCACAGTCGAGTACTCTTTCCGGAAATCTGAACCCACCACTGGGACCACTTCAGGAGGGACCAGAAAGTTTAACATGAAAATGATATGAAACAACGCAGCCAGGGGTCCCTCGGGGGAGGCATGAGCACGTCCCAAAAACGTGTTTGACACACACAAACACACACAGCCACTAACTCACAAAGAAGTTTGAAAGCATCCATTTTTATCTATCAAAAATGAAGAAATGATTTAATTTGGTTTGTGAAACAAAATCAAACCACCCCGATTTGTCCACTTTGCCATTCAGCTTCTGGGTTTTGAAAAAATAGGTTAATTTTTTTAATTATTAGATATTATAGGAGATAAGCCGTAAATGATCATTCTATATTAAGTGCTCTGTAGAACATGAATAGTGCTTTTATTATGTTCCCTTAATTGGAGAAACTAAACGTAATTCTTTAGGATTTAAGCATTTTTGTAGTCTTGTCAGTGATTTGCAAAGACATGTCATCCATCAGCTTAAAACATTTATAGCTAAACCTTGTTCCATTTTATGCATGTAGAGTAATGAAGTGGTAGCTTTGTACCTCTGAATAAAACGCATGGTTTTGGAGTTTACTTTACAACCTTATTCAGCTATTTTGACACAGATGAACAGATCTATTTTTTTCTTTTAGTAACCAAAAGGTTAATTAATGTAAAAAGTGATATAACCGGAAGAATTGCTGGGTTTGGATGACAAACAGATCGATAAAACCCCGTTTGGCCTTTGCTTCTTTGTGAGATTACACCAAAACGTTAGCTGTGTGCGTTTGGGACGAGCAGAACGACCAGGAGTTTCTGTGGCTGCCTGTGGCCCAGATGGTTTGATTAAAAAGTCAGGACCATCAGAAGCAGGCCCCCACAGGAACTATACTAACCAGCTCAATAGAGAGCAACGGGATGTGGACTGGCAGGATCAGAAGGGTTGCTGAGTTTGGGGCGAGGGAAGCCATAAGTCACATTGACCTGTGCTTCGTCTGCCTAACTGCACAAACTCTGGCAATGCTCTCCATCCCTGCTCTCTACCGTGTTGGCGGTCACCTGACCTCGCCAGCGCTGCCCGGGGGGAGCAGCCTGGAGAGTCGGGTTTTACTCCGAGGCAGAGAGAGAACTTCAGTCTCACAAGGAGGCGTGACACACTCACACAGGACGAGCCACAGCGGCACATGTCTAACAGCTTTTCTCAGGAAGAGTGAAATAAATTCCCCAACAGAATGAAATTCGTCACAAGAACTGATTCTATAAAAAAGTAGAACATTCCAGCAATACCTTCTGCATAGCCATGGAATAAACATACAGTCTCCCAGAGAGCTCTGGTGTGACTTTTTAAAACTGAGCCATTGTTAAGGTTAGGTTGGGTTTTTATACAGTAGTCTGCAGATGATTAAGTTATATAATCATCACCACTGCCATCCGACAAGCTTCCTCAATGATCACAAGACCGTCTGTTGTCACAAGGTGTGCATGAATTTGCACCTCAAAACACACACACACACACACACAAGCAGAAACATCAAGCGTATTGGACCTGGTAGAAATAAGAATCACGATTACACAAAAACACACTTTTGTGAGGCTGACTGCTCTCCGTCTCAGAGATGGTCGTTGTGCGAATGTCTCTGCCCCCCTAGCCCAGTGCATCCCCTCCTTCACCCCCACCCCCACTTACCCCCACTGGGTCCTCCTTTGGGAGGGGTCCCTGGCTGGAGTCCGAGACTACAAATGTAAATGAAGTTGTGTTTACCCTACGCCATGTGCATTGTATAGTGGAGAGTAGTACTGTGGTTTTACTGGGAAAAGAAGTATAAGAAACTTTAATCAGAAGTGTTTGTTCCTTCTTGTTTGTCCTTCCTTTTAATTTCTTAAGTTGGTGTCTGTGACTTTTTGGCTGTTTTAAAGTTCCTCATCTTCCAAATGGGACCATCCTGTTCTCAACACCAGAAGGAGCCTTCACCGACATCCCTGACCCTAAAGCCGAGCTAACGCTGTGGGACTTTTAGACTTTTTGAGGCGATTTTCCCCTCGTTTGATATCTTTGAGATTGGGGTGAGTTTTGCGTCGTACCTCGTGTAGTAGCCTGTACAGGGGGTAACGAGAGGCGATTAACAGCTCGCGACCAGCTCCCAATCGACAATCGTGTGCTGGCACAAATTTCAGGCGTGTTAGATATTTTGCTCGTTCCTCGTGAGTCGGGAGGGTCTTGCACTGTTGAAGCAGCAGCGCTGCGACCCAAAAGTAATAGAACCGCCCACATAGCGTATGCGTCAACACAGCTCACCAGCTATTTCCCTATCAACACACGCCATTTGTTTTCATTTATACACTTTCTTTTCACACACAATGACAAGGATTGACAAGAAAGCGTGTTTGAAGCAAACACAAACAAACATTGATTTACTTTTTTTCTCTCGTCTTCGTTCTCCAACCCCCATGAATCCCTGTTTGTCCTTCTAAACCAATCCCAAGGGACAACAGACGTCAATAACAACGCAATAAAAAGTCCGACATGTTGTGTAAAACCTGCCAGTTCTAGCATTTTTTTGGGTCTGACATTTTGCTACCAGACGCACAGAGTGAGCAATCAGGTTGCATCAGAGAACTGGGTCTTTATGAGGAAGTTGTACAATTTGAGATGGAGCTGAATGCTACGAGAAAAAGTCACACAGTGTCCGCTCGGCTTAACCCTAACCCAAACCCTTGGAAAATAGAGGTAATGTAAAGCACAAGCTGTCCTAAAACATAAATATTTAAATAGTTGATAACTTAAAGTTTACTTAAATATCAGAGGTCTTTAGATGGTTTCTTCCAAAATTTCCTTAAAATTGAAGCTGATTTCCTTACTTTGAAGAAGCTTGATCCACAGTAATGCCCAGGGGTCTCATTTGTCAAACATTGCGTAGAATCCTTGCTAAAACCGTACTTAAGCTCAGCAAAAAAAATGGACTTACGCCAAGTAGGTTTGTGATCTATCAAACATGGAGTACGCACAGCTGCACGCAATCTCCGCTCCATAAATCGGAGACTAACAAGAATGTTTCTCAGCTGCTTTTTAGTCACATCCCGCCCTCACCATGCCCACTTACTGCCATAAATAGTCAATGCAAAGCGCCTTGTGGATCTCATGCATATACATAAGCCGGCTGTTGCAGCGCTCTGCCAATGACATGGCGACCGTAGATCAAGGCAGATCAAGGAAGCTCAATTTCACAGAAGCAGAAATTGAGGTACTTGTGGGTGAGGTGGAGAAATGAAAGGAAGTGCTTTTACAAAACAAATAAGAGAAAATCCACGGAGTGGCACAGCGTTGCTGAAGCCGTCAATGTTGTGAATTCTTCAGAGAGATCTGTGGCAGATATAAAAATAATAGTCCAAACAGGATTCAATCCCCAGACTCCCGGGTAAAAGTCACACATGCTAACCAGTCAGCCAAACGGAGATCTCCTCTGTTCAAGTAGCCAGGGCGCATGATTAATCGGGTCACAGTGACAGGACACACACTGTCACAGACGCATGACATTCTGTCTCAATCTGCCCCCCTGCTGATATTCTGCATTCCGTATTCTGCGCTTCAGGCTGTGTGTGTGCGTGAGTGTGCGTGCATGTGTGTGTACATGTGCGTGTGTGTGTGCATTTGTGCATATTCTGTGTGAAAACGAAGCAGTACAAGTGGTAATGCTGCAGGATTTCATAATTGTATCCTTCTCAGCAGCAGCACTGCAGGTGCTCTCCATGTCTAAAATGTGCGTAAGCCAGGTCCTTAGTCAACTTAAAGTTGTGCACATTTTTCTAAGTTTTCTTTGATAAATCCCAAAGTTTGCGTGGAAAGTTTCTTACGCAGTTTTCCGACCCCATTTTGTGCGTAAGCAAGCTTGATAAATGAGGTCCCAGATTTGTGACCCTGCTGGTATTTTTAAGCTAGCAGCCTCATTTGGCACCACCAACAATTGCATTCATCACAAAAACAAGAGTTTTTCCACTTTGTGACACTTTGAAGTCTCAAATTGCATCAGCGCTTGAAGATAATTAATCTTAGTTGAGCTTTTATCTCAGCAACAAAATAGTGTTAGAATGCATTTTGCACTTTTTATATTTTTTAATGTAAATAATAAATGACTTTCCCATGCGGGTAGTTCTCCTTCAAGCACAAGTATGCTAACTGTTATGATGATGGTACCAAATTGCTCTGTGCTGTTCCTAGAGCTAATATCCCTGAGGTTGCTCCTGGAGTCTGCTGGAAACATCCATCCATCTATTTTCTCCAAGGTCTGGTCTCAGAGGTAGCAGTTTCAGCAGGGAAGTAGACGGACAAGTCTTCAGATCTTTAGGTCAGTTGTTTCTTTGCCAGAGAAATACATTCATTACTGGAGCCCAGATCAGTCCATCTAGATGGATAATCCTACTAATATGGGGTACTCAGAGCGTCTGTAAATGCCAGCACCACTGATGCCTCGATTCAAGCTTCTTGTGTTCCTTCATGTTGATGTAACGGCCACCGTAGTCACTCCTGTAGTTTGGTGATCACCATCATGTCCAGCTGATCAGTCCTTACCTTGCTTCTCTGTATGGATCTGGAAGCTCCTGTAAGATTTTCCTGTCACTCAGTTTGGGCACTCAGCCTCATGTCCCTCTGGGGCTCAGTAGCCATTCTTGGATGGAAAAGTTTCTAAAATATGTCCTTTAACCTATTTTATACTTATTGCCATGTTCTCTTTGTTTTATCTTAAGCCCAGAATTTTTATTAGTTGGCCAATTATTAATGCATGAGACTGTACACATGGCGATAAATAAAATCACAGTTGTACTAGTTTTGATCCAACAGTGTGTGGTGTGCAGCAACAGGACTCAAAGGCATTCCCCAAAATAAAATATGACTTCAAAGTAAACAAGCGTGTAGGGGAAGGAGCGTCAAGCTCACTTCCATCACCTCACTTTGTGACTGGCTAAATGTCATATTCAACAGACAGCATGTTCGTCTTCGAAAATCAGACCAAGACAATCCAACATAACCAGAGTGGTCCAGACATACTTCTGAGCAGACCAAAGCATTCTTAGCACACCACACAAGGCAGGATTGTCTGATAAGATTATCTTTAGAGTTGTTACAACAATCATGGGCAACTTTAAGATTGATGGAAGGGAAGGAGCTGGTCAAATATCGGCATGATCATCAGGAATCCTCTTTCAAACACTGGTTAGGATTTTTTTTAGGATGTTGGGTTTTTAAGTATCCAATGGTCAGCGTCCTACCTGTGTTCTGGCTGTAATGCCCAACACTAACCTCATTAACTCATATGATCTAATGTGGTTCACATTTATGTGAAGATAAAACAGCCACATGAATGGTGGATAAATGTCCTCAGTCACTATTTTAACCCTCTGGAGTCGGGAGTTGCACGTTTGCAACGTTAAAACCTGCCTACCAGGTTACTCCACGTACGTATTTCATGAGCATTTCTTAACTCAGAAGTACTCCTGAAGGACTTAGTTGTTCGTCCTTTTATTAAAACTTATTTTGAGCCTGAGAGGGTTAAGGATGGTGTGATATAGTTGAGGAGCTATAAATGAAAGACGGACCTACTTTCTTTAACAGCTTCATGGTTTGAAGATAATTCTTCAGTAAGAGTGGGAGAAAAATCAAATTTATTTAAAATGAATCATGCAAATTCCATTTTTGTCCCTTGTCGGAGATGATGAAACCACAGCTTTTTTTTTTGTAAAGATGAATAACTGAACAGCTGTTAAAAGATTCATGAGACCAAATGAGAATAGATGATAAATCTGGCCTGGTTTATAACACCGCTGTTAACAGTATCTTTGGTGCTGAGAACGGGATGTTGCCTTCATGGATGTCACTTCTCTCCGATCCGATCCCACTGTGTTTTCATTCCTCTGTGTTTCCCAGTGAACATTAGTTTTAGAAGACTGTGAGAATGTCTGTGGTGATTTTGATGGTGTTCTCGTGTAAACCTCATTCTCAAATGTGAGTCTTGATGAGTTTTTTTTTTTATGTATTCTCCCTCCTCTCACTCCCCACTCATTTGCTGTCTTTTACTCACGTTTTCCTTTAAGCTTTTCCGACCCTCGTCGTCTCTGTTCACAGTATTAGGCTGGAGTATGGTTGTGTGGTAGTAGACACGTGTTCTGTGTGGTCGGTGAATTGGTGTTGTAGAGTTATGATTCTTCGCTACTCGGGATGTCACCAAACACAGAGCAGTGACTGGATCAGCGGAGACAGAAGAAGAAAGGGGTAACCAGGGTTCCCTGAAAGTCAACAAAAACTTGCAGTTCCCATTGCACCTTCTCAATCCAGAACTTCACTTATCTGCACACAGTGCAGCTCTGGGATCATTCTTTGATGGGAAAACTCCACGGCCTGCACTGCATGATATCCTGTCACACTTTAACCTGCAAATACTGAAAAATGGCTGTTTTTTTTTATTGGTCATAAAACTTGGAGTCATTTTTTGCTTACTGCGTTTTGCTGTTAATCTGTCAACTGGTCAGGGTTAAAAAGAAGTGATTGTATCTACATAAGTCTCACCAGACCCTGAAAGCTGAAGCAGCTTGTTTTCATGAAAGCTAAATTTGATTTGAAACGAATATACTTTTTGTTTATTTGACCTTGCAGGAGAAAGCACACATCTTGGTGGTTTGCTAGATTCATAAGTCTTGGACATGTCAAAAAGCTCTACTCAAAAGTAACCAAAGTGCACAAAGCTTCACAGAGAGGGAGATTTACTCATGCACCCTGCCATGATTCTTCAGAAAGTGGGCTGTGAGATCCATCCCCTCCTCCCGGAGTTTCTCCTTGCCTGGGGTTAATGTTCCATCCTTCCTTTCAGTGGCAGTTGTCCCAATATACTTTCCACTGGGGAACTCTTCAAAGGCACAAAACAAAATAAACCCTTAGACACCATCATTATACCTTGGTTTCTATTGAAGTCTGAATTACTCTTATTTTGATTTGTTAGAATGTTTCTAGTTCCAAATTAATGCTGAAGCCGAACTTGCATTATTCAGACTCAAAGGACTCAGTTTTACCTTCATGAATACATCTCTCTACATCCTAATCCTGCTGCCTTCCTGATTCCACATAAACATTAAGTACACCCATCTATCCCTGCACATCCTCCAGCTGCTGCTTTGATTGGATTAGATTTGAGCTGAATTATCGGAGCTAAGATGAGCTGTAATGGGATGACGGAGAAGTGAGCTTGGCTGATTGGATGATTACTTGCCTTATTAGTTTGATTTCCACAGCAGACCTCTAAGAACATTAAAACAGTAAATAGAGGGAACATCTTTATAAAGATTATGGCCGGTCAGGACTCTCTAAAGCTGGGTGTTCAGGTTTGTTTGAGCAGAGCTTTCACTGAAAATCGCCTTAATTATGGCTTCATCTTAAAGTGACAGTGTGTATTTTTCCTGGCAATAGGGGGAAGTAGATACCTAAATTGTTGCAAGCAAGCAGTATTTTTGTGTTGTGGTAAGACTTTACCAACTGATGCCCATTAGGGTCTAAAAGCCCTGGGGAGTGCAAACTTCAGCAAACTAACAAGCACATCAGACTCCCTTTCATCACTGGCAATGAGTGAAGAGGTAAATGTGTAAAACAACATTTAAGAATGACAAAAGTTTTGTAACTGTTTGTTACAAATCAGTAAATGCATTTTGTCCTCATGGGCTCCTGTAGAAGGAAACATGGCATCTAAATTGGCGTTGCCCAGAGACTTAGATCCGCTCCCCTGTATTTTATACCTGATTTTTATGGTTACATGTTACAAAGCTGCCAATATTTTGAAATGACTGGGCATCATTTCATTCATTTTAAACAACATTTTGATGGATATTTTCATAGATTAATGGTAAAAAACTACACATTGTCTCATTTAGCTTGACCAGAGCAGAGGTCTGAAAGCTGTACTGCATTTAGTGAAGTCATACTACCACCCAGTGGTCGGGATGAGGAACTACACAGGACTCCACTGACGTGCTGGTTTTTATGTAAAATAAACAGATGAGGAGAAATCTGACTGTTAGCTTTTTACGTCTGATTTAATAGCCATAGCATGACTTCCTCTGGGCCTCAGAGTTTTGTTTCCTCTTCGGCAGAGGAAGCAGCAGTTTAAGGACAGCGCTCGGTCTGAATAAACAGTTCTGACAATGGGTTGTTGGGAATGAGGAGAAATTTAATTCATCACACAAACCACAAAATGAAACAGCACAATTATGACTCTGTCTGTGATTGCTGATCAGCAGATGATTGGTTGTTCTAGAGATCAAAACAACTCTCTCTCTCTCTCTCTCTCTCTCTCTCTCTCTCTCTCTCTCTCTCTCTCTCTCTCTCTCTCTCTTTCTCTCTCTTTCTCATGGACTCAGCAGGTTGAATCTATGCATGCCTTTTAGTAAAATACTAAAACAAGTGACTAGTATGGCCCAACTCACACCTGCATTTGTACAAAGGGCCAGCATCGTCACTGCTGGTCAAAGCAGAACGAGTTAGAGAATGAATCCAATATCAGAGACAAAGAATCGTGTGCAGATACTTAAAGGAGCGTGCATCTTACAACAGAAACAAGTGTTTACTTGGGATGATTGTACTTTTACAACTGTCTACTCACCAACATGTGATCTGCTCTGATGTACATGCTGTAGATAAAGAAATTGATATTCCAAGCAGGTTGGTGGGACTGATCAATGCTGTATAGACAGAAGATTATTCCAGGCATATTTTTATTGATTTATGTTGAACGTTGTCACTCACAGAAATTCCTCTAGGGAGTGAGGAGGCATAAAGATTTCCTGTAAACCTGGCTCTCACTCTGCTATGTGTACTCAGTAGAAATTCTGCTTCTTATTTTTTTACTTTTTAAACACGAGAAGATTTTTATTTATTATTTGTTCCAGGTCTGAGCCGGTGGCCCTCTCCTCAATTAAGCTGTGATGATTTAGCTCTGTTTTTTATTGGAGTGCTTTCATGCATAAAACACAACAGGCACACTTCTTTTTATGTCTCATATCATCTCTTATATCCGCCTGGCACCGACCCTCGTAAAGCACTTTATACATCGCTCTCTCATTTAGGTCATTGCTGTGATGCACACGGTCCCGGCTAACCTGTGAAAGCTGAGAACGTGTGCTTAAGACTCCAATCAAATGCAGAGCTGATGTACAGACAAGCCAACTTGTCAGCTTTGAATGGTGTCACATGATTTATCATTCATACTGTATGTGCGAGTGGCACATCGAAGAGACTCTGACCCCATGTCAGCTTCTGAGTTCTGATGATTTATGCCACAACTACTTGATCCTTGGATGTAAAAAACAGAAAGTGTACATATTAGATCTATTAGCCATATGACGTCATCCAATCTGTAGACTTAATCGCCATGTCTGAGAGAGGAACATGACTGTTGAACTGTAAATAGTGTAGGTATAGTAATATAGGTTTTAACTGCTGCTTTTTGCCTCCAGGGATCAGATCCTGCTCAGTGCCCAGGCTGCTTGGTCTCAAAAGGAAGGATAAAAATGTCTATAAAACACACATTATTTCTTCTTTTTTTTATTCAGTGTATGTTTTATATGCTGTCTGTCTTGTAAATTTACTCCTTTTTCGTCATAAAAGCATGATGTGACTAAAATGATTCTCATGTCTCTTTCTTTTTGTGCGGTTTAGGGTTAGGTTGTCTAAGCTAACCTAACATAATGGTGTTGTGTGTTATTCTTTAATTTAAATGACTGTTTTAAGATAAGAATAAGGATAACTATAACTGCAGCAACTAAGATTAGAAAGGGTTTTAGAAAAAACAAGTTTTGTTTAAAAAAATCATAAATGTATATCGAAAAACTGCACGTAAAAAGAAAACCATAGAATTTATATCTAGGATTATTTCTTCTGTTATTATTGGCTTTCATTTCATCTCATCTCATCATTTGAGAAAATTCTCTGTAATATTTTAAGTTAATGATGACATTCATTCCAATTTTGATCTAGTAGAAAATCTCTAGGTTCATGGGTATGTGTACATTTTGCTAAAACAAATTTTATATGAAATTAACTTGGGAGGAGAAGACCACGGAGGGCAATGAGGTATGACTTGTCCAGTTGTATGTTTTGACCAACGACTCATCAAATATGAATATAAAGTTATAAACTGGAGGTAAAAACATTGATTTGTATGAAAAGGAGATTGTACACTATTGAGTACTAGACAAATTAAAGTGATTAATGTGAAAAGGCTTTTTCACCTAATCTCAGTTCAGTCAAAACTTGACCCAAGTGAAATAGATAAAAAGTGAAGGTTAAAATTTCAGCTCTGCTTTCACTTATAGCCTTGTAGAATTACAGAAAAGGTTCTTCAAATGTGTTCTGTCAAAAATAAACAGTGTAAACATCAATCCATCCATTTTCCTCCATTTATCCGGAGTAAGGTCGCGGGGCAGCAGTCTCAGCAGAAAGGCCCAGACTTCCCTCTCCCCAGCCACTTGGGCCAGCTCCTCTGGGGGAATCCCAAGGCGTTCCCTGGCTAGGTGAGAGACATAGTCCCTCCAACATGTCCTGTGTCTTCCTTTAGGCCTCCTCCCGGTTGGACGTGCCCGGAAAACCTCACCATCCATCTTCTGAACCCGCTTTGTCCACGTAGGGTCACGGGGGGTTGGGGGGGGGGGGGGGGGGGGGGGGCTGGTGCCTATCTCCAGCAGTCAACGGGCAATTAGGCGGGGTACACCGTGGACAGAGAGCCAGTCCATCACAGGGCAACACAGAGACACACAGGACAAGCAACCATGCACACACACACACTCACACCTAAGGACAATTTAGACAGACCAATCAACCTAACAGTCATGTTTTTGGACTGTGGGAGGAAGCCGGAGTACCCGGAGAGAACCCACACATGCACAGGGAGAACATGCAAACTCCATGCAGAAAGATCCCAGACCAGGAATCGAATCCAGGACCTTCTCGCTGCAAGGCAACAGCTCTAATCACTGCGCCACTGCGCAGCCTTATGTATATATATATACACACACACACACACACACATATATATATATGTATATATATATATATATATATATATATATATATATATATATATATATATATATATATATATATATATATATATATATATATTAGGGCTGGGACTTGATTAAAATTTTTAATCTAATTAATTACAGACTTTGTAATTAATCAATCTCAATTAATCGCATTTTAATCGTTCAGGAAAATGTGCTCTCAAAGTAAAACTTTTAAATAAAATTATGGTACAGAGAATCAAACATTAAACATGGTTATTACTGTAAACTAAAGCTTTTAATAAAAAAATGTATTTTAATTATTCAAATGTCACTGTGGGATATGAAAGAAAAACCCAAATAAACTAAAATTTATAATTACAAATAGAAAACACCTGCCAAGGGTTCCTGAGCCTTTAAATAGTCTCTCTGTCTAGTTGAATGACTGAAATAAATTTGACTTTGCACCAGATTCTAATTTTTCCAGTTTCACTTGTTTGTATAATTGGGAGTTTTTATTAGCATTTCTACTCATAATGTAGTAAAAACACATAAATAATAATCCTTCAAAATGACAGTAGAACTGGCACAAATATGATCTAGGACTTGAATGTACTAACTTTTAACACAAGAACAGGCGCAACATATTCTGAGAATGATCAGGAACACTAACTGGTTCCAGTTGGATGACTGGAGGATGATGGGATGATAAAAGATCATGGCGAGGAAATAATGATCTGGCGAACAGGTGAGCGGACCTTCCTTACATGGGAAGTCCTGATGTCATGTTAATAAGGGGATGCTGCAGACCCGCAGATTCACGCCTGCTGCAGCGAATCTGGTGTGATCTCCAGCCTTATGTTCTCGTTCCTCGCTGCCCCTGATACACTTGAGCATCCGCCCCTTAGCTGATGACAGCTTCAACACACCTCGCTGCTTAATGTGATGTTTACACAGTGACTCGTCTCAGAAACACATAATTCCCCGACAGAATTGTTTAGAAAATCATCAGAAAAGTTTCAGTGTTTCTGTTTGAACTTAAACTTCTGTTTTCAACTTTAAGACACGTTGTCTGTGATTGTTTACAGAGTAGTGAGAACACGGAGCGTTCTCCCAGCGGCAGCCAGGCGCCTCTCGTTTGTCTGACTGCTTTCGTAAACTACTGTTAGGGCAAAGAATAATTCTGTCTGGTGCTTTCAGCGCTGCACAGATGTTACGTAAATGTTAAAAATATAGCTTACCGCAACTTTTGTAAAGTTTCCGTTGCCACCGGGCAGCCGCAGCAGAGACGATCTCTGAAAAATGTCCGCGACACGGACTCCGTTGTTGTCTGGAAGTTTTTTTTTTCCAAGTTAAGAAAAGAGGCGGGCATGTTTCCTAAATCCTGCATCAGTCCAAGCAAGGCAACTTCTTTCTGTTTTTTTTACGTTTTAGTAGCCATTAGCACTGTGCATTGTTGTGTGCGTCAGTGATATTCAGTCTACGAGGAAATCGTACACTGTCAAAGGTTCTGCCATGCTTGAAATGCAAGCTGCGATTAAATGCATTAATTTTTTTAACGCGTTATTTTTTTCTAATTAATTAATCGTAATTAACATGTTAAAGTCCCGGCCCTAATATATATATATATATATATATATATATATATATATATATATATATATATATATATATATATATATATATATATATATATATATATATATATATATCAACAGTCCATTCATATATCACACAATCTCTTTTATTGATACTGATCCAACTCCTCCAAACTTCTAATGATCAATACCTTAGCTTCTTCTGGAGTTCCATTCAGTTTAACAAAAACTTTACAATTAGCAGTCCAGGTATCCCAGATCTTTTTCTGCTTCCACTGAAAAAGAGCTTTCTTGGCAATTTCTGCATCATATTTTGTCAGATGGGCATGTACTTCAATAATGGTAACCATTTATCTCTATTAATAATTATTTTCAAATGCTTATTTGATGAGGAGAATTTTATGTTCGAAAAACTAAATTGTGGAACTCACCACTGTACAAAGACCTAATTTGGACGTCCTACAGACGTGGTCTGAACCAACAGACTCAATGTAGACATGATCTGCCAACATATTTGCATCTGCATGCTCATGCGATGTTGACTGGTTGCAGAGTCTTGTTGTGAATCGCACTGAAAAGGTTGAAAAATGTCCCACATCGGTCCAAAGACGACTAGAGTGTCTATGTACTTTTATCTTGAAACCACTAGATGGCAACAAAGCACATAAAATTAAAAGACAATAATCAGAAAGGAAGACATCCAATTGTTTGTTTCTTTATTTGATTTGGTCAAACACACCATCACACTGGTTTCCACTTCGTCCCGGTGTGACCCCAGTGGTTAACTGGCGGAAGGCAGAGCCACATGACTTACAGACTCACTAAAGAACAGAGGTAGAGCTCTCTGCATCATGGCTTGCAATAGGTTAGGGTGTGTGTGTGTGTGTGTGTGTGTGTGCGTGCGTGTGTGTGTGTGTGTGTGTGTGTGTGTGTGTGTGTGTGTGTGTGTGTGTGTGTGTGTGTGCGCTCGCAAGCTTGCAGGCATTTCATCATTTCATCAACGTCTTCAGTTAGATGTCTTTTTATCAAGTCAGAACCCCACCACTACCCTCCTCATAGCTTTGGGGGGCGGGGTGGGGTGGGGGGGGGGGGTTCTCTGATGCCTCGGCCCACACCATAAAGGTCACCCTGCAGAGGTTAAGGGTGATCACACACTTTCACCGACACACTTCTTAAAGCCATTCTCACCCCTATCCTCCTTGCCTGTCGAGTCAGTTTCTCCATCATCCTCCATCACCCCCCCCCCCCCTTCATTTTTGTTCCTCTGTTTTGTTTAAAGTGATTGTCTCTATTATCACAAAGACACTTGGTTCTGATTGACTGAGCGGTAAAGGAAGAGGGAGAAGAAGTCCACTCTGAAGCTTTGAAAGGTGGAAGTGTTTTGATGATGAAGATGTTTCTGCTTTCTTTTCTTCGGTTTGTTTATATTTCAGAAAGCAGAAACACACTCAAGCTCATCAAATTCACAATAAATACAGATGGACCTGATTGTAGCAGGGAAACAAGACACACACGCACACACACCCCGGACTGGCTGTGCCATGAAACAGGAATGTGGGGACAGTTACAAACAGAGAGGAGGAACAACGTGGCTGATATACACACAGAAGTACACAAAGTCTATACAAATACACACAAACAGCACAGAAAAAGACACAGAACAAAAAATGCAAAGATTACCAAATGTAGTTCCTCCCCCTCTCCTCCACCTGTAGAGGTATACTTCATCCTGTTGTTTATTTACACTTTGAATTCATGCAAATAAAAAAGAATTAAAATACCCCGTCCCTAATGAAAAAGGGGTTTGTTAGGCTGGTTCTGTGTTTTTTAATATGGAAATCACGTTTACACACATGAGAGGCAATTTTCAAACACAAAATTGATGCAAAACACAAGTTGTTGATGTTTTGATCTTAATTTTTGTTTTGGTTATTTGAAGTCTGATTTATTTTTTGTCTTTTGTCCTTCAGAACAGCCTATCGCCAGCTTTTGATTTAGTCCTCCCCTTGTTTTTATTTAGTCCCAGAACTAAAGAAAAGAAAATATATCAATAAATAAACCCAAAACATGTCAAATGATACATCAGCTAACAGATACAAAAAAAAAACATAAAGCAGAACAATCATCATCAGTGTTGCTTATACATGAACCTTTACAATAAAGATTTGAGGTATATAACAAAGATTTGTCTGCACATGCCTGTCTGGTTGTAAAGCTATACCCTGGATGGAGGAATCAGCAAAAAGGGTAGGTGTGTGTGTGTGTGTGTGTGTGTGTGTGTGGTGGTGGGGGGGGGGGGGGGGGTCCACCAATGAGCATCACAATTGGATTTTCATTTTGGTTTGATTTGCTCCAAATGAAGGGTGAGGAAACAGTGGAATGGAGAGAAGATTTTGTAAACAATCAAAACCACACACACACACAAACACACACACATGCATGCACGCACGCACGCACACACACACACACACACATGCACGCACAGTGATAAAAAATAATGTGTGTTTTTGCGTGAGTGTGTGTGTGTGTGTGTGTGTGTGTGTGTGTGTGTGTGTGTGTGTGTGTGTGTGTGTGTGTGTGTGTGTGTGTGTGTGTGTGTGTGTGTGTGTGTGTGTGTGTGTGAGTGTGTGTGTGTGTGTGTGTGTGTGTGTGTGTGCGTGCGTGTGTGTGTGTGTGTGTGTGTGTGTGTGTGTGTGTGTGTGCATGTGCACCTTGTGAGAATCTGATCAGATGATTTTGACAATAAGCAACGTGGTGAACATTGAAAAATTCCCCGTTTGCTTTAAGACTGAAGGAGTAGGATGACCCCGCCCTCCCCCAGTGTGCCTCCCTCTTTGCCAAGCACACCCCCAATTCTCTGAACTGAATGAAGGAATTTTCTGTGAACAGAGCAGTCCGACCCCTGGTTGAAGGAAAAAGGCACTCAACTCTTCCCACACGACAACTACCTCTGTTGTGTTTTGCCATGCCGCACGACTGCTCTCAGTCTATGTGTTTGCATGTGCTGTGTGTGCATTTAAATGCATGTGTGTCCCAAGTCCAGTGTGAATAGTGAGCCACAAAGCATCTTTGGTATTTGACTGCTGTGTCACAGTTACTCTGAGAAGTAACGCCACAGCGAGGGTCTACAATTCAAATATTTCTCTCCCCTGGACCCCAGGATCATTCCCAGATGGCACCTCAAACAGACAATCTGTGCAGAAAATTTAAACCACTGGTCAGTTTGTGGAGGAATGTCACTTAAATGCTTCCTCTGATGCTGCTGCCTCCCCTGCCGTACTCTTCGTCCTCCCCTCTAGTTTGATTATCTCCCGCTAGAAGATGGTTCAGAACAAGTGGCTTTGCCCACACCAAAAAAAAGGTATAAAGACACTTAGAAATGAGGAGGTAAGGAAAGAACACCATCAGCAGAGGAATGCAGCGATAGTCCCATTTAAAGAGGATTCAGTAATGATCAAAGAAGAGGTTCTTCACATCCAGATAGTCTGCGTGTTCGATCATTCAGGTCATCAGGATTATGCACAGTTTATATGCCTTCCTTGTCTGTGCATAGAATCAGTCTACGACATGTTGATTTGTCTTTTTTTTTTATCCTAACCTAAACTTTTTACATTTTTTCAAGAAAGTGCTCTTTACATATAGTTTCAGCACAACATAGCACAATAGTCACAAGAGAGAAACCATGTGTCTATGGTACTAGTAATACCCGCATCAGCATAGGGAGGGGGAAATGAAAGAAAGACACAATAAGGAGGGAGGAGCAAGAGATTAATAGAGAATAGATACGAGAGGGAGAAAGGGGGGAAAAGGGTTAAATTAAAGGTTATTTACAATCATGTTTATCACATCAGACTTTTTCTGAGGTATGAAACAGGCGACGTGCCCGTATAGTGCTCGCAAATTGAAAGCTGTGATGAAACAAAGCAGACACAGCGAGTCAGAGGGCGGTGGAGTAGGCTGCATCTGTTCTCTGATTATCATAGAGAGGCAAACATCATTGGCACTCAGGATCCTATATATTGTGACATTTGACCTCCGTGTTTGGCCACTAGAGCATGGCAGCCCCTCTCCATCCTTCCATCCCTCGCTCCCTACACTTGGGGACAACTCCTTTTAGAAGAGTGCGGAGCATCGTCCCCGATTGATTGTTCTCTTTTTTAACCTGAATATAATCTCGCGTGTATCTGCACGGCCTTTAGGGCTGCACAGTCAGACAGAGAGTGTTAAGAAGCAAATGGTTAAATTAAAAGGTGTATTGATTAAGATTAAGCATGTGTGTGTGGTGTTTGCAGGTCTAAACGTTGGCTCAAGTATGAATGTTGGTACTTATAGGTCTAATTTACACTGCAGGTTGATGTGATTCTCTTGAAGAAACTTGGAACAAATGCACAGCAGGTGGCGCTGTTACTCTGACGTGGAGCGGGTTGGGCTACACCGTTGCGCCATGATTAAACACACATGAAAAAATGCATGCACTGCTGCATGTCGCTGCAAGTCGCCGTGTCTGGTTCCAGAGAGACATCCCTACCAGTGCTGCAAAAGGAAACGATAAGATTTAGATCAGTGGGGCTCCAGTGGAGCTGAAACTCAGCCAGGTCGGCATCTTGCCCACATTCAGGTCACCACAAATGGTCTTCTGTGGCTACATTTACAAATTCTCACTCTGATGTCGAACCAAATCCACAAACAAACAAATACATAAATATACGTGTTACAGGAGGATGGAGACAAGAGATTAGCTGAGGCTACAGCCGTGCGCACTGATCCATGCGCGCCCAGCACTGCTGTGACACAAACCTAAACCTCGCTTTCAGCAGAGCTGTTTAGTGGAGATGTGTTCTCTTTGGTTTTCAGCTGAATCTATGGTTGCTACTAAATCTTTGGTTTGCAAATAAAAAACGTCCATTTAAACGCATCTGATTTGTCTGTACATGCGCCGCATGGATCAGTTGCTGCGCAGGACATTTTTAGTAAAAATACCCAAACATTGAAAATGGAATTCCCATCCTCCACCCTGCACGCATCCGTTCAATTCGTCCTGCGGCCGTCAGGCCTTGGAGAACGTGCTGGCGGAAGAGGAACCAGGTTGGATCGGAGACGCGCCGTTGTTTCCGCTGTTTCCGTGAGGCGTGTGGACGTGGCCGTGGCCGCCGTGCACCCCGTGGCCGTGCTCCTCAGTGTCCCAGCGCTCCGGACAGCGGCGGCGTGAGTTCATGAAGAAGTTGGAGACGGTGGAGAGCTCCAAGCCCAGTTGCTGAGAGATGGTGAGCTGCATCTCCTTGGAGGGGCGGCGGTTCTCTCTGAAGATGGCGACCAAGGTGCGACGCTGCAGGTCGGTGAAGACCAGTCGCTGCTTCTTGGGCACCTGGCTGCGCTCCCGTCCCCGGTCCTCCTCCTTCCGTTTACATGCTGGACAAAATACGGCGACATAAAAGATGAGTCTGACCGTCATAAAACTATTTCCACTGTTCATTTGAGACAAAATGCACAAATGTGAAATAAAGGATGACAATGGTGAAAAAATAAAGGCTAATGGATGTTCGTGCATATGTTCAGTCATTTGTTAAAATAAAATAATAATTGTAAGATCAAATTATATAATTAAAAATCTGAACAAAAATATAAGTAGAGATAGAAACAATAATACTGAGAAAGGCCCATATGAATGTTGTTGGTTTATTCAGTCCTCTAGGATTCTAATAGAATATTTTCTTTCTATTTGAAATCATTTAATTAACATGTGTTGTTTAAAAAAACTGTTGTAATTCACAAATGTGTCCAAGTTTTAAAATCCCATTTATTTCACTGAAACTTTGAAGTTTATTTTTTACATTTTTGTCGATGTAAAATTATATTATTCAGATGAAAACATGCACGTCAAATTTTCAAATGGGTATATAAAACTGACAGCACACAACTGCGAGTGAAAGCTTAAAAAAATCATCTCTTAACCGCAAAAACGTTCAAAAATGTTCCTGTTAATGAAGCTGCGTGTCTGACAACTTTATTAGTCTGACGTTGTCGAAATATAATTTATAATTTATAATATAATTTATGCGATCCAAAGTAAAGCAGAGCGTCTGAAGGAGAAGCTATAGGCTGGGGTGCATGGTTGTGGGTCTGTGCGCTCTGGCTGAAACCGGAGGAGTGTGATGTGAACTGCTGACAGAGAGCCGCGCTGCCTGGACGCACCGTCAGAGGCTCGGTTCTGGCTGTGGAGACTGGAGGGAGTCTGTTCTGTTCTGCTGCCCTAAAAAGCTGCAATGATCGATTTTCCGCGGTTTTCTCCTGAACACGTGGTCCAGTAATCAGGGCTCCCTTCCCCACCCGATCGATCCCTATCGATTCGCGAAAGAGGTGTGTGTGTGTGTGTGTGTGTGTGTGTGTGTGTGTGTGTGTGTGTGTGTGTGTGTGTGTGTGAGTGCGCGCGTGCGTGCGTGCGTGTGGGTGTGTGTGAGGGCGCGCGCTAGGGAAATAGTGTGGCTCGTGAGCGCGCTTTGTGACAGACAGATGAGGAGAAATTGTTTATCTGTGGAAGAACAAAGGCGGAGAGAGAGAGAGAGAGAGAGAGAGAGAGAGAGAGAGAGAGAGAGAGAGAGAGAGAGAGAGAGAGAGAGAGATGGCATCCATGCAGTTTAAGAACTCTGGGGGAAGATGAAGCGTCTAGTCGGTAAATATTATTGAAGCACGTGCAGGAGAGGATGGTGTTTAGAAAAAAAAACAAACACTGGCAGGCCCGGCTCTGGGTGACTATTGCATGAAGGAAACGGGGAAGAGGTGTGGTGGTGGTGGTGTATGCAAATGATGGATGACTTTACAGCAGGCTTAGACAACAGCAGTAAACAGATTTGACTGTGGGACTGAGATCAATGTGTGTGTGTGTGTGTGTGTGTGTGCGCGTGTGTGTGTGTGCGTGCGTGCGTGTGTGTGTGTGTGTGTGTGTGTGTGTGTGTGTGTGTGTGTGTGTGTGTGTGTGTGTGTGTGTGTGTGTGTGTGTGTGTGTGTGTGTGTGTGTGTGTGTGTGTGTGTGTGTGTGTGTGTGCTGCCATTGTTCATGCTTGCAAGCATTTCTCCCAGAAGGATGTGGGACTCTACATCTCTCCATCCCTTCCTGACTGTTTTCCTCCCGTTGTTTTTTTCCTCAATTGTTTTTAATTTGCCCCCTAGATTGATAGCCCCCCATATTGATTGATCCGCACTTCAGAACCATTTCATGGAACGTTTATTCAATTGGTTCAGGTCCAGCCAGCTAGAATCTCCTCCAGGCTCTCTAAGTGCTGTCTCCAACCGAACTCAATACTCTCTAATGTAATGACTGAATGCTAGTGCTAATATAGTGATAATTTAATATGTAATGCCTGTTTTCCAACAAATTGTACTACCAGCCATTTTACAGTGCCAACACCACTCTGGTTCTCCTCCATCAGCCCATATGAGGGCAACCTGCAGGCCTGGTGGGAGCAAACATTCTGACGCCATCATAACCGTGAAACCATGGAGTTAGCACAAGACTGGGGCCTAGTTGGTGCACATTTCAGATAATCAATAGGTCAATTTCAAAAGAGACTCTTTCAGACCCTATCAGAGCAATGGAAGGACCACAGAGAAAGGGGGTGCTCATTAAATGGACCTCTCTTGAGACAAAACCAAACAGTTAGAGGTTATCTTTAGCCGCCTCATCACCAAATGAGCTTTTCTGAAAAGACAAGCAGTGGTCTCAAGTGACCCTCGCTGGTGTTGTCTCTTTCATACATCCTCGTGTCAACAGTGTCAAAGGTGCCAGGCTGCTTAACACCACTTGGGTCTCATCTCAAGCTTTTGCTGATTTGCTGTCTGCTAAGCTGAGTGTTGTTCCTACTTTCCCTCCTTCACATGAAGTTTAAAACTACATGAGTGGGTTTTATTAGTTATGAAAACGATTTTTGGGGAAAAAAATAAGTAAGGACGTTTTAGTTCCTTTGTTGTTTAAAGATGCTAAGTAAAATCATTTAAGCTTTTCCGCAAGAAAACATCAACAACAATCACTAAAAAATGAGGAATATGGAATAATTCTGAATACTGAGAAAGTTATTTTTATCAGGGCTGAACTTAGAAGAATATCATGTGATTTGTGAAAACGTTCTGAATAAGCACAACATCAAACTAACGGTTTAAATCCCCAAATCAACTTTGCATGACCTAAATTATCAATATGTTGTAAATGTCTTTTCCATGACCTGGGACTTTGAACAAGCTTCCCATGATAATTTAAATAATGTACTTTTCAGAACAACTGTGGTCTCTCCAATTTGAAAATGCCACAGATTCAGACTTTAATCTACTAGTAAAAAGTTGTCAGATACAAGAGTAAAAAGTGGATTCGAGAGCGATAATGTTAAAAGTTTGTTTCCCTTCAGAAATGATGGGTTGGAATTTTAAAGTTCACACATGCAGACAAGAATTAAACAGCTATTTTACAAGAACGTAAGAAGCCAGTAACACCCTGGTGGTGTTCGGAGGGACCGGTGACGCCTGTCTATGGCAGACTCACCTCTGTCAGTGCGCACCAGGGCAGCTGTGGCTACAATGTAGCTCATCCCCATCAGTGTGTAAATGCGTGTGAATGGGTGAATGACTGATTGCGTTGTAAAGCGACTAGGACGGTTCCAGAACTCTGGAAGGTGCTATGTCAAACAAATACAGGCCGTTTATATGTGATTTTTATTTTCCATCATCAAAAGTCTAAAATTGATTGAATTGATTATAAAATATGTGATCTGATTCTATTGAAACTAAACATTGATCAAACTAAATGTCCCCATAGAGATACAAGCCAAAAGAGCACATTTGTGTGTGTGTGTGTGTGTGTGTGTGTGTGTGTGTGTGTGTGTGTGTGTGTGTGTGTGAGTGTGTGTGTGTGTGTGTGTGTGTGTGTGTGTGTGTGTGTGTGTGTGTGTGTGTGTGTGTGTGTGTGTGTGTGTGTGTGTGTGTGTGTGTGTGTGTGTGTGTGTGTGTGTGTGTGTGTGTGTGAGCAGATGGGCCATGTGTTGCAGACGGTGAACTAACCGCACCGTGCTGCTGCTACTCGCCGCCTGGACGGACGGATGAGACCGGGCTTTGTGTGCGGTGAGACGGGCCCTCTCTCGCCCTGGACGGACTACTGCGGGTGAGAAACAATTTTGTGTCAATCACTCTCTGTCACACCCCCTCAGATGCGATTATTGATTGAATTGATCATGTTATATAGGACTGTTCTCTACTGGGACGTTAAACAACCGACTACATACTGACCTGCCTGCCGGAACAGCACGCAGCACAGCGGCAAAGGAGAGAAAAACACGCACTTTCTTCTTTATTTAAACACAGCAAATTGATTGGAATTGGCTTATTTGAAAGTTGTCATTTATTTTTTACAGAAAAGCCCTTTGTTTTCTTGTTTTTAGCAAGTGATTTGCTGTAAACTTTTTGGGATTCTCTCTGTTTTTCTTTTTTTGTGCTCTTTTAAAGTCACAAATTGATCAAAAAATGCTCAAAGACCAACTTTTGCTGAGCATTTCTTAAAAATAAATATTTCTATATTACATATAAAGCTTTTAGGTTGCTCCAAACACACTTTTCCTTTCGTCTGAGATTTTTAAAAAAAGAAAAACTTTTGATGATCTTATCTAATTTAATTTTCTGAAATTTGTCTCCAAAGGAAAAGTAAAGGTTTTTTCTTTAAAAATTCCTAAATGTTTATTATCACATCATTATTTTTACATCAAACCAAAGTGTTTTGTGTAATAACAAGTTTGCGTTCACAAACAAGGGGGGGACTTGGTTTTATTTTCAAGCCTGTGTGTGCTGAGCTTTGAGTCTCTACACAAAGACGTTAACTCTGAAAATCATAAGCAATCAAATAAATTAAAAATGCAGTAAAAAGGTTGATGTTGTTTGTGTTTCACCACTGCTGTTTGACATCAGAACTGTCCTCTCAGCACCGCAATACATAATCTGAGCTCGGGGCCGATGAAAACAAGAGGCATGTGCCAAAAATACTACAAAGAATATATATTTTAAAGAGATTAAGGTAACTTTCTATCATTTCTGTGAATGTTGTTTCACAGTTAAAGGTCACTCTATTCTTATTCTGAGTGCTAAATTGTTATCTTACTATAGGTAAAAGGTCTTCTACAGAAAGAAGTGAGCAGAAAGCAGAAATGAAATGAGTCTGGAAGGCAAGGGATGTGTCTTCCTGCTTCAGAGCCAGAAGCAAAAGAGATGGGGGTGGTGGGGGGGGGAATATGAGAGAGCTGAAGAGAGCAGAAGAGAGGAAATCGATACGATTCAGAGCAAGTCAGATAAGCCTGAACAATGTATAGTGCAGACACACTCTATAACCCAGTCACACACACATGTGCATGTAGGCACACACACACACACACACACACACACACTCAGTAGAATGTGCTTCAGGCCTCCATAAAGATGCATTACAAACCCCATAAAGCATACCAACTTTTAAAATCAAATGACATCACAACCTTGGATTGCTCAGAGGTTTTGCTGACATGAGCAGAAAGCCCTCATTAAGTGTCAATAGGCGGCTAGATGCTCTGATGCACTTTGTCTGTGGCAAGATTCTCTTTGGTTCTGATCTAGTTGGGTTGAAACGCCAGCCCTGACTTCCCTCCACTCACTACAGTTGCACGTCATCAGACGAGGAGACTTCATTCCTCATAAAAATGATCTGATGTGGGTTTTCAGTAGTGGAAGTCTACACCATGTCAAGCCTGCACTATTGACATCTCACTGTGTGTTTGGGGTGTAAACAGTGTTTTTGAAAACCACTTACACCCTCTCCGCTTTGGTGTTTGGGGAGGGAGAGTGGTGTGTGGTCCTCAGCTGTTAACCACAGATTGGACTTTGCTTACCTAGAAGATGCTGTTACAAGCGCTCCCACCACCACTCTGCCTCCTTCTTTCTCCCCCTCTTGCTTTCGTCTCCCTTATACTTATCAATTATTAAGGTCGCTATTGATCCTTTCACTACGCTGCCTCTATCTGACTGTTCACACAAAGCCTAAACCTGCCAGCCCTCCCTCAATCAATGACATCTCCTGGCTCCTACAGCTCCCCTTTCCACATGTCAGTTTTGTTTTTCTCACTTTTGCACTTAAAACAGGTCAACTTGAAGTTCTGTACATTCCGATTTGGTCTATGTTCTGAAAATACTGACATCAAGCCATCTGATAGGAGAGGGCAGAGAGGGTTGTTCACCGTTTGGCTCCATGAAACAGCTCTCACACATCCTCCTTTAGTCCTTGCAGACAGTTTGTTGTTTTGTTTTTGTTCTGTGGCACTGATCTCCTGCAGCCAAACAAGGTGCCAGCCTGTTGCCAGGTTAACCAGAGAAAGATTAGTAATAATATTGTCAGAGAGGGAGAACACCAGGGAGTGTAAGAGAAGGGGGTTGGGACGAGGAATGGGCCTTATTGATCTCCTATGTGCAAAGCCAGGCAAACAGTGAAAGGACAGAGCAACACTATTAAAGACACTCAAAGCCTCATCTACTAATCCTCATCTATCATCTATCTATCTATCTATCTATCTATCTATCTATCTATCTATCTATCTATCTATCTATCTATCTATCTATCTATCTATCTATCTATCTATCTATCTATCTATCTATCTATCTATCTATCTATCTATCATCAATCTATCTATCTATCTATCTATCTATCTATCTATCTATCTATCTATCATCTATCTATCTATCTATCTATCTATCTATCTATCTATCTATCTATCTATCTATCTATCATCTATCATCTATCTATCTATCTATCTATCTATCATCTATCTATCTATCTATCTATCATCTATCTATCTATCTATCTATCTATCTATCTATCTATCTATCTATCATCTATCTATCTATCTATCTATCTATCTATCTATCTATCTATCTATCTATCTATCTATCTATCTATCTATCTATCTATCTATCATCTATCTATCTATCTATTATCTATCTATCTATCTATCTATCTATCTATCTATCTATCTATCTATCTATCTATCTATCTATCATCTATCTATCTATCTATCTATCATCTATCTATCTATCTATCTATCTATCTATCTATCTATCTATCTATCTATCTATCTATCTATCTATCTATCTATCTATCTATCATCTATCTATCTATCTATCTATCATCTATCTATCTATCTATCTATCTATCTATCTATCTATCTATCTATCTATCTAATCTATCTATCTATCTACATATATGGTTTTAGCTGTCTATTGAGCCCATCAAATACAGAATCACATATTTTTAAAGGAGAATGAGACAAATTGATTGTCAATTTTACAGTTGTTTAGAGTTCCGTTTCAAAGCTGTGTTTTATTTTATTTATTTATTTATTTATTTATTTTTTTTAATACAAGACCACGTTGCCGATCCCCACCCCATCTGCAATCAATGTTTCATCAGACCAGTTTGCACAGCTCCTGGTTGCCTCAGAGTAGATTTGCAGGGTTAGAATTATGGACTTTAAGTGGATGTGTGTTTCACTTATTTGAATAATTTAAAACGTGTGAAAAGCAGAAATCACCTTGTGTTTTAACTTAATGAAATGAAACGTGACTCCCACCATGCTAGGACCATCACACCTGTCCGTGTTTAAGCTTTCACTTGGGTGCTAAATGAAAAGTGCGGTTATCACGTCTTTACACTGCGATACGAGCATCGATCGGTGCGCCACATTTGAAAAGGAGAGTGGGAACTGGTGTATTGATCAGGCAGCCCGAGGTCACCCCGTTTCTGCCGAGAAAGTTGGCCCCTGCAGCCCCACCAACGACTGTGCGATAGACATGCGCGCGCGCGCGCACGCACGCACACACACACACACACACACACACACTCACACACACACACACACACACACACATCTGCAGCAACTAGCGCCTTGGGAGAATTTTCATTTCCATGTTTATTGTGAATCACCTGGGATGGATATGTCGATCAAAAATATGGACTTACAAACTTAGTTTACAGCTGCGCGCGAGCGTCCTTGAGCGTTTTATTGATGTTTTTATGTTTCTGTGGAGTTCACCAGTCAAAGCTCTGGTATCGTTCTAGTTCCTATAAAAATCACTTCCTGTTTCTCTGCGGAAGCCGCTGTGCCTCGTGTTGTAGTCGGAGGAGCTGTCCGTGGTGCTGAACTCCTTTCCGACCTGCTCAGTTTTTATCCTGCCTTTCTTTGCCGGTGTCTGGTTACAGTAACGGGGTATAATGTGACTAATCGGGTCGAATGTGTAATATCAATACTGAAGTGACTTTCTCACCAGCCAGTCGGAGAGCTGACATCCGCTGGAACTCAGGCTCCTGCAGCCACTTCCACATCCTCCTGAAGGTCTCCCGGCCTGACTTGAGCTTACTCCAGGGTTTGGGGTTCCGCAGCAGGTCAGACAGGGTGCCCTGCGACCGGCTCAAAATCCGCTGTGCGAATATGGCCTGCGGGATTGAGTACCGCTTCAGCTCGGCTGTTATCCTCTGAGCTACCTCCTTTGTGTTTATCTCCTCCGCCTGGATGCCAGACCCCGAGACCCCCTGGTTGGCCCCGTGGCCATGCATCTCCCGGTCGCCCAGCATGACGGCGCCGTTCGGTTGGGAATGGAGATGACTGTGCGGGTGGTGGTGCATGCCGTTGAGGTTGGAGATCAATCCGTGGCTGTGCCCTCCTAAACTCCTGGCAAGGTGCTCCTGGTCGCTCCGGGACAGCATGGATGCGTGGGACTCAAAGCCCGACACCGGGGAGAGCATTTTGGAGTCGGTGGAGATGTGAGCGCTGGGACCGTAGGCCGAGAGTGACTGCTGGGAGTTGTGCAGAGAGGTCAGGCCCCCGGACAGCGGGGAGAGCGAGCCGTGACCCATACCGGACACGGATATCTCTTTTGGGTAGTGACTGTACAAGTTTCCCATGGACGCGAGTCCCCGGTGGTCATCCCGCATCAGCGTAAAACTTCCGCTGACGTTGCCGGCGGAGAGTCGTTGGTGGGCGGCAGCATGGTGGTGGGAGTGAGGGTGGTGAAACTTATCCGCGACGGTGGATATCGGAGGTAGATGCTGCAGGGGGGTCAAGGTGGTGTAGGTGTTACTAAGGCTCATCCCGTTCTCGCACATGCTGATGGAGGGATGGAGGTGGCCCGACAGGGCGGACGGGTCTGTCCGGTAGTCCCCACCGGACCCTTCAAGAAGAGAGGCCATCCCGGAGACCATGGCCGACCGCGCACCGGGAGCGTGCGAGACCAAATTCCGGGATGTCGTGCTGGGGGACGGTGACGGCCGAGCGTGGGGAGAGCTCATGAGGTTCCCCGCTTGGGAATGCGATGAGACGCTGTGCAAGTTGTCCATGAGCTCCATGTATGTGTGTTCCCTTGTCCCCACCCTCCCCACTGCCTCTCCGTTCGTTCTCTCTCACCCCCAAACAGAGAAACGCGTTCTTTCTTACCCCACTATCCCTCCCTGGGAAATAAAATTATCAGTCCGTTTGAACGCAAATCCATCGATTAAAACTCACAGATCGATCCGTTGTGAGGAGAAGTTCTGTTGCTCCGAGGCGCGTAGAACCAGCGGGCTCTGCGTTGTGGCGGTGCTGTCCACCATTCATGTGGATGGGAGCTCTCCTGTGCTGTGTCTCATCTGTGGTCCAACAGCGCTTCCACTAAAAGCAGGCAAGAGCCGCGTGTCAGAGAAAAGGGGGCGCGCCTCTGTTTATTTAAAATGGGGACGGGCACGCGCACAGCTTCAGTCCTCAAATCAGAGAAACATCACCTCTTATCAAACAAGTGGGATCAAAGGGGAAACTGACCAATTTATTAATGCGTCTTACAAGTACTTTTGTGTCTGCGCGCGCGCGCAAATCACACCTGTGCACGTGACAGAGACGGACAGGTGACGTGTTTTTAAAGTATCAGAGTACACACGAGTTCCTTACAGATAAACTTTGTTTTCCCACGGACCGCATGGTTTTGCATTTATGCACTAACTGATAAACCTGATAAACCTGATCGAAGTATTGATTGACAGAGATTAATGACGTGACGCGGGCAGGTTCGTGGGGTTGGGAGGGGGTGAAGGAGGTCACAATGTTAGGATCCCAGCACGGCAGACCAATCAGAGGACAGCCCGCTGCTTTGGTTTGTGCGAAGGTCATCAAAATAAGATGATGTCTCCAGAAACCACGCGTATCACCTCAGGGTACAGGGTTAGTAATTATTAATAATAAGATGTCATTTTTAATGGGATTTAAAGGAAGTCATATAAAATGCTTAAGACGCACGAGTCTTCTAAATATTTTTGTATAATAATCATAATCATAATCATAATCATAATAACAATAATAATAATGCTCGGGCTGCTCCAGGCTCAGAGCAATGACTGGTAATTTAACAGCCCGCTTCAGTCGCGGCCGAAATGCAGATGCAGCCGGTTTCTCGTGTGTGTGTGTGTGTGTGTGTGTGTGTGTGTGTGTGTGTGTGTGTGTGTGTGTGTGTGTGTGTGTGTGTGTGTGTGTGTGTGCGCGCGCGCGCGCGCACGTAAAATTTCCGGTAAATTCGGAGTTCGGTAAGGATAACCGAGGGACAATAAAACAAAAATAATTACTGTCAAAAATACCAGTTCATGCGTTTTGAAGACAATGGTGAAAAAATGAGTTGAGCAATAAAATTGAAAACTGCTGTAAAAAAAGGGGGAACATTTTCCAGATCTGGGTTTAATTTATTTGAGGAACGAGTTTGGGCACCAAACACGACTAAATAACATAATATCAAATAAACCTGTATTCTAATTAAGTCGAATTCTGATTTACCCATAAATTTCGTTATTGAAAATTGCACTTAATACATTTCGTAATTATAAATGGTTTTAAAGAATAATTTGAATTAGAAAATCAGATTGTGACGTCATTTAACAGCCCTTTTCAGAACTACCCAACTCACCAAAAAAGTGTGTGTTCTTTTTCACGACAGTTTTTACATTCGTGCACTTGAGTAGTCCTTCACGCAGAAAGAAAAACATGTTAAAAGCTGAATCTTAACTTTTCACACCACTCTTTAATTCTGCATTAAAGCTGAATTGATTATTTTTGCCAAACGCAGCTTTTAAATATGAAGTCTTCCTTCATAAAGCAGCTACTTCCGGTCATCAAAAAGCTCCAATCTGTTTTGCTCCAAAGTTCAGATATTGATCTGAGCCGTTCAATGCATTGATCATCGAGCAGTCCTCTGCCTCCTGAACGCTGAGGCATTTGAGTGGGATCGTTTCAGCGGGTGGGTTCTGACCGCAGGACAACGCAGGGATGTCGGACAGCAGAAAGCTGCAGGAAATAACAAATGTCAACTGGTCCGTTTATTATCTGTGGAGCAAAAGGCCGTAAAACGCGCGCACACACTTATAGCCACACACACACACACACACACACACACACACACACACACACACACACACACACACACACACACACACACACACACACACGAAGAAAATAACATCATCATTAGACCAATTCATTTTTGTAATGAATAAACTGCAAAGATAGATATCAAGGATTCAAAGAAATTCGGCTTTTTTATGTTTGGCTTTATCGCGGTGAGTGTGTGTTCGGGCATCATGTGGACACACAATATTGTTTTTGTTTAGTTTTGTTTTTTCAAATTCACCTGAAGTTTTTCTCACATATTAAAAACTGCTATTTTCTTTCTTTATTTATGTATTTCATTTAAAATCCAAATTCAAACTTTAAGAACAAATAATTTCAAAGTATTCCTCAATTTCGATTCCTGCATAAAAAAACTCGTTTATAAGAAAATATTTTCAAGCAATCAAATTTAAATAAATTGATTTAATATATTTGCTTCTGCGGCAAAAGTGACAGAATCAAGCTCACAACCATCTTCCCTCAGTTCTTACATCAACTATTAAAAATCTTTAGATGGTGTTTGCAGAAGCAAACAAAACTCTTCTTTTCTTTAGATTTTGTGGCTTTAGGAGCGTGCTAAATTATAAAACCTAACACAACAAGCAGAATTAGAATCCAGCATGCACCACTGATTTGTCTTTAAGCAGGGTTGTGTCTTCTCGTTTGGTTGTTTCTTTTTGTAAGAGATATCTGTTAACACCAGCTACAGTATTTGTATTTTTTACATGTTTTGAAATGTTTTTTAATCTGTTGTCTCTTTTTATTTTGTATGAAAATTGTCCCTCAAACCCACAACACTTTGTTGTGATAACTGAGCGTTCCCTTACCTGCACAGGACAATATTAGCATTTCAGTTGAAAATAAATGTCACCATTTTGTGGTTTATATAAAAAATATCTGGGTTTTTTTTAATCAAATGGAATGGTGCGAATAATTTATTTTAGTGTTTTAAGAATTTCCTGTGAAAACATGAATTTATTTACATGACAAAAATTACTTTAACATTTGTTATGAAAATATAAAAACAAAGGTTATCAAACCTAAAGAATCCACAGATACACCAAGACTATAACGAGATTTAATGTATGATTTTGTAGGGGTTTTGTGTGTGTGTGTGTGTGTGTGTGTGTGTGTGTGTGTGTGTGTGTGTGTGTGTGTGTGTGTGTGTGTGTGTGTGTATGTGCATGTGTGTGTCAGTGTTCTCACTACTCATGTGTCTTTATCAATGCAAAATGCACAGAAGTACAACTTCTCCAGCATCCATATCCTCTCAGGCTCTGGTTGCTAAGTAACAGAAAGAGAGATGTATTGAGACAGAATAGTCAATCAATTCTCCTTTGAGGTGTGTGTGTGTGTGTGTGTGTGTGTGTGTGTGTGTGTGTGTGTGTGTGTGTGTGTGTGTGTGTGTGTGTGTGTGTGTGTGTGTGTGTGTGTGTGTGTGTGTGTGTGTGTGTGTGTGTGTGTGTGTGTGTCTAAGTATTGCACAGCCATGTTGTTTCTACAGTTTGTTGTACTCTTTCAGAACTACCACGGAATATGCAATAAAGACTTAAAGTTGCTGCAATTAAGGAGTGAAAGTCCTTAACTTGATAATGAATTTTAGATTTATTATTTCAGCTAATTTAATGAGATTTATTCATGCCGTTTCTTGCCCAACAGTTAGAATATACCTTCATTCTGCACCATGGATGTTTTTAATCTCATTAGAAACTTCAAAAAAGACAAAAGTTTGTGTCTTTGTTGTTAGGTGACTAGAATGTTGCTAAAGATTCAGTCAGACAGTTCTAAATAGAACTTGCAACAGATAGTTTACAATGAACTGAAAGAAGAAAGATAGAAAACAAATTTTGTGCAAACATTTTCTTTACCTGATGTAAAACTCAGGATAGGATAGAAATGTATCTGTTCATATCTGTGGGGGAGGATATCGGTCAGACCTGGTAGGCCCAAATGCATTGTGAGGGTTTGCTGGGAACATCTGGCAGGGATATAATTATGGATGAACTCTGATGGGGACGGTGTGCTGCTGACCTCTCAGGACATTGTGGATCGGTGGGTGGAATACTTAAGACCTTTTCAATCCCACTGGCACATCTACCAGCAAGGAAGCAGAGCATGGGGACTTTGGGTTGGACTCTCCAATCTTTGGGGCCCAGGTCACTGAGGTTGTCAAAAGGCTCCTCGGTGGCAAGGCTACGAAGGTGGATGAGATCCACCCGCAGTTCCTTAAGGCTCTGGATGTCGTAGGGCTGTGTTGGCTGACACGGTTCTGCAATATTGCGTGGACATCGGGGGCAGTTCCACTGGATTGGCAGACTGGGGTGTGGGTCCTTCTAAGGAAGGACATCAGGGTGTGTTCCGACTAAAGGGGGATCACACTCCTGATTCTCTCTGGTGAGGTCTATTCAGGGGTTCTGGAGAGGAGGGTCCATCGGGAGTATGGGGCACCAGGGCTGTTAGGTCCCTGTATGACCGGTGTCAGAGCTTGGTCCGCATTGCCGGCAGTAAGTCAAGCTCGTTCCAAGTGAGAAGCCAAGACTGCCCTTTGTCAACGATTCTGTTCACAACTTTTATGAACAGGATTTCTAGGTGCAGCCAAGGTGTTGAGGGCATCCGCTTTGGTGGCCTGAGGATCAGGGTTTCTGCTTTTTGCAGATCCTGTTGGCTTCATCAGAGCGTGATCTCCGGCTTTCACTGGAGCGGTTCACAGCTAAATGTGAAGCAGCTGGCATGAGAATAAGTTCGTCCAAATCCGAGACCTTGGACCTGAGTCGGAAAAGGGTAGAAGGCCTTCTTTGGGTCCAGGACGGGGTCCTGCCCCAAGTGGAGGAGTTTAAGTATCTTGGGGTCTAGTTCATGAGAGAAGGAAGTCTGGCCTTTCTACTTAGCCTGATACCCCTGCAACACGGCTCCGGATAAGCGGAGGAGAATGGATGGATGGATGGATATATCCATTCAAAATTATTTTAAGCTGTGCTGTTTAGAGCAGATAATGTCACATGTAGGTTTATTAAATGAAAAAGATGTTAGAGGATTTAAGTGTCTGATAAGTGAAGAATAATTTAGACAAAAGGCCAAATAAGCAAAAAGGAATGAATAACTTAAAAACTTTTCTGTTTTCACAGCCGTTCTCTGGATTTTTGTTTGTAAACATTCCCCGAAAGCTTAAAATTTTACTTTTATCTAGTTTCATTCACATACCGGTAATTGATTTTGCTCTCATACGAAGACAGGCAGAAAGAGATGGAAGCTAGTGAGAGAAATGAGCAATAGATTATGGACACTTGCACCCAATGCTAATTTGTCTTGTTTCATCTATCACACAGATACATTTGTCCTCTAGCAGAGATGATCCAGGGGTGTGTGTGTGTGTGTGTGTGTGTGTGTGTGTGTGTGTGTGTGTGT